TCTCACTATTGTATCAGGTTCTTTGTTGTGTCATTCGTCCCAATGTGGAGGAGGATTTGGGGTTGATTTGGGGTCAAGTCAAGGCCATATACGTACAGTACTTAGTGTTCCTGCCTCTTATTATCCCCACAAGAGCAACTCTGAGAGGTGGATTTTGCTGAGAGAGACTGTCCCAAAGTCACTCACCTGGCTTTCATGCATACGAGAGGACCAGAACTCACCTCTGTTTCTAGTCCAGCATCCTAGCCATTACACCAAAGTGGCATACTCCCCTACGCTGAATGGACTCTCTATATTGCAACCAGGAGGTGATGTGGCATAGCAGTTAAGTGTTAAAAGAGCATGGCGGGGAAAGGGGGGTACGTTTAAGCCCCCCCACCCCACTTCTAAGAAGTATCCTGGGTGACTTTGAATCTGTCACTTGCTCTCTGCTCAACCCACTTCGTAGGTTTGTTGGGAATAATTCAGAAGCTAGGAGTGCGAATGCTGCCTTGCACTGACCAAAGGCGAGGTGGAAGATAAATAATTTGCTGAATTAATCTATTTTACATAACAGTAAACTCAAATAACCATACATGCACATCATACTAGAGTAAAATGTGGCTCACAAAGGGACAATTTTACTCCCACAACTCTGCAGGTACAGGCTAGGCTAAAATCGGAGGCTGGCCCAAATTCTCGCTGTGAAATGAATGAAGGTTAAATCTGCATGTAACCCATCCTCATTAAAAAACAGTCCATTAATGTACATCATAGCTGCCTAGGTTATTTTGACACATCAGGATAAAATCATACAAGCACTTCTTCCTGTCAGGAAAAATACAGCAATTAATTACATGCTGCTCTTTCACTTAATTTCTGTTACCTGAAGTGAGGGCCTTACGTCCTTGCAGATTCTGTTGCCCACCTATAGGAATCCCTGATGCTGATGTTGCATATGAAAAGCTTGAATGCCTGTACATTTTTATTTATTTTATTTAGTGTATGGCATCTACAGAGGTCACGCAATCACTGAAATACATCATCAACACACACACACACACACACAGGTACAGGTATGTGGACAATACAACATAGGAGATAAAATATTAAATTAAGATAAAACCATAATAAAATCACCATAATATAGATCCATAAAATTGAAATAGGATAGATGTTATAATTCAATGTCTAAGGAAGCTAAGCATCTAATTGCTTCCAGTGTGGCTGCCATGAGATCATCCCAGGTGCCCTCAAATTTCCTGAAGAGACATTCGTGAACTATATGTGTTATAGTTTGTTCCAGGGCACCACAATTGCATTGCAGGCTCCCAGCCATTTCCCACTTAAAGAGCTTAATGCCTGTATGTGGGGGGAGGGAGAGAAAATATGGTTGATTTTTGACTTGTGTATTTCTTAGTTTAAACCTGGGAGACACCTGAAGATGGAAATTATTGCAAGAATGTGCTCATAAAAGGATGTACATACTATCCTGAACAACTTAATGAATTTATTTATGTGTTTATTTATTTGACTTGTATGCTGCCCGTCTCATCTAGAGGCAACTCTGGACAGCTTGCAAATATTAAAAGCCAGTAAACAGTAATAACAATAACAACAACAACAATAATAATAATTTACAATTAAAAGATGGCGAGGACAGAAGCATGATGCATACAGGTAAAGATGGGATCTTTTCTTAATCCAATAGCCACCTCCAGAATGATGTATCCTCTCTTGGAGCCCCAGGCCAGCTGAGAGAGCCAGATCTTCAGCACTTGGCTGAAGGTCAGTAGGGTGGGTGAAGATCTGACCTCAGGGGGCACTATGTTTCAAAGGGCAGGAGACACGGCAGAAAAGCCTTTTCTCCTGGACCCTGCCAGCTGAAATTCCTTGACCAATAGGGTCCACAGCATTAATTGTTAATAATATTCCCTTTTAATTCTACCCTACTTTAAAGCTTTTCCCATGAACTATTACCTTTTGTACTGTAGTCCCAGGATGCCAGTTTAAGAGAGTTCAACCCAAAGAAAATTGCATCTTATTGCACTGAAGTCCAAATCTTAGCGCTCTGTGTAAAGCCAACCAGAGGCATCCAAATCTTGCTAAATATAAGAAGGCATTATATTGCTTTAGTCACAGATTGAGATGCATCAACATGGTTAACTAATGGTGATTTCCCATAACAGTTCCAACACAAGTTGATAGGTTATGTCATTTGACATCAAATTGGAAGACTAAATTACATTGGCTTTCTAAAACCAGCCTTCTGTTTTGGCATGGACAAAGTCATGAAATTCTTTGATGGGAAGATATGATAAGATATGATACAATAAAAAGGAAAGTGGCAGAAATGAGGACCAGAAAAATGAAGAATCAATTCATGGGAAAAGTAACAGAATGAAATGTGTCCTGAAATACAAAATATTTCGGATGTTATAATAAGCTAAAAATACAATATTGTAAGTTGTGGTATTAGAACAACATACATACAGGCAATAAATGTTAAGGAAATGTTGTGAAATATAATTGAAAGCCATCATTTAGAGGTATGTAATAATTTCCCTGAGAGCATAGATATGTTCTATTAAATTCAGTATGTCTATACATCTCTATCTTAGTTGAAGCTTAGATGGGCATGGCCTAATTGCCCTGTTATCAGAACAAGCCAGCAAACATTTTTGGAAGACAAGAATGGGAGTGGGGGGTGGGTAGGAGGGAGAATTTATTTTTTAAAATAATTATATTGCTAGTGACATACAAAAATCTACAACTGGATAAAGATAATATGGGAAAATCCTAAATATTTATAATGGTGAAGTGAAGTAAACATAACTCCCACAGAAATAATAAAAGGAAAAGGTCCAATGTAAAAAAAAAACCCTTATAGAATTTAGTTATTGAGCCTAACATTAAATTTGGACCATATATCAAGATAACATACCATCTTCTCTTCTTCAGGGCATAAAGACTTTAAAAAATAGATAAAACCATTTCCTGGATCTATTCCCGGAAGTCAAGTTGCATATAAAGTTAATAATTAAAACCAGGAGAGTAACTTCTTTTCCATTTAAATAAGATTATTCTCTTTGCTTTGTCCCAAGCTCAGTCAAACCAAAGCTTTCCATAATTTGACAAATCCCAGAGTTTAAAAATATAATTCAATTTGGGATCTTAATATATAATATCTCACCCCAAAATTATGCTAAAGATTTTTAATCTGAAACAATGCAATGCAGAACAAGACCAAATCAAGTGAGTTAAAGAACCTTTGCATTTCTTCTATTGCCAAGATAAGAAATCTAATGTCCACCTGTTTTAAACTTTCTTTGAGGAATCCAATAAACTCATTTTCAGATGAACTAGTAGACACTACCCTTCCATCATAAATGTGCCTTCTGAATGTAATTTTCTGCTACAGTTTTAAAATATTAATGTCTACCTTATATCATCTTTAGCATTTTTGTGTATTTTGGCTGGTGTGCTTTATTTGATCACAGCCCAACCTAGTAGTTCATTGCTCACTTTGCAGAGGGAGAAGCATCCCCTTAAATGGCAATCAACACCAGTACTACAAACTAACCTGTACATTTTGAACCAATGGAAATTTTTAAATTTGGGTTTTTTTAACCTAAGGGAACTTTTCTAGTATGGCCAATAATATTCTTAGACGAATAAAGGCAAATATACATGTCCCAAGTTAATGTAATATCGAATCTGGCTTTGTCATCGGAACCAGAGGTTTATTCTTCCAAGCTTTTGGACTTGTGCTGGAGCCCATCTTCTGAGACAGGCAAGGAGACCCGAACTCATTGGTAGCCTCACACTGCAATGAACAAGGACATAACGTTCAATTTCACAGCTACTAAGGTTGTTGGCTGTACATGTACAAAAACAGCCAGGGAAATGATTGAAGCCTGGAAACGCACCCCTTGTCAGTCATCAGGAGTACTGATTTACCACAATCTTATCAAGTAATTTGTAACCAAGAGCTTGGCAACACAAAGAAACAACAGCCAATCACCAGACATCAACACACCAATCAACCAATAGGAAGGCAACACATAAATATGACTCGCAGAATAGCCCAAAGCACTTGTTCCAGTAGAGAGAAGTTCCCCGAAGATAGACTCCAGCGTGAAAGCTCAAAAGAGTAAACCTCTGGTCCTGGTGACCAACCCATATTTGATCTTGCAATATTCTCAGAGATTCCTGAAAATGTTTTTTTTTTTCCCAGTCACTTGAAGTAGAACTTAGACGTGTTTCATTTCTGCTCATGTGTACACTAAGGAAAGGCTTCTCATGCAGCTTGTAGTACTCTACCCATGACTCACTAGGTACAGTAGTTCACTAATCTCACAAGCAAAATTTAGAAACTGCTCCTCATGAGATAAACATGTTATTCAAAGGCATCTCCAAAAGTTCTCCAGCATGATAGATGTAGCATCCACCGATTGGGTAATCAAAGCCCTCCTGCTCAGATTTAGACTAAGACCAAACTTTAGCCACGCCTCCCTTGGGCGCTCCTTTCCCAGTTTTGTCTTAGTCTATGCTCAGAGAGGACACAGTTTTGTTAGCTCCTCAGCAATTGTTAGTTTAAATAGTGTAGCATTAGGATTGTTAATATAGCTTCCTGTAGTGTACTCTTTACATACTTTTTGTTTTTTTAGTAAAGGATAGTGAATTAGCAACCTTGGAGAGTTGCTTTCCAGAGGGCCTAATTGGCCTCGTGGATCTTCGGAGCTTTGCAGCTGAGGCAGTTTTCAGCTCAGAGTATCTGTTCAGCACACCGAGGGAGGCTTCCCTTGTGTCTGATAACAATTTTTATTGCCAGCGTTTCTGGAGAATTCAGCCGATTACCAGAGCTTCCCTCTTGCCTCGTGGCCACGAGGCTCTATCCAGGATCGCACAGAGACTCCCCCAGGCTGCAGAATCGCAAGTAGTTTGTGGTGCCTTATAGCTGTAAGGGGGGAAGTGTGTGTGGTTCCCTCCGTCTTTTTGCCTGCCTGAACAGGGACTTCAAAGATGAGGCTGGAGAAGCTGTCTTACAGCTCTGACTAAGAGGAGAGGCCATTTTTAGGCACAAAGAAGACCTGCGGCCGCCATTTTGAATTTGGTGCTGGGCGTGGTCTCCATTTTAAGGTTGCTGTTTGCCTCCAATTCAGGCCTAGCATTAGTGACTCACTGCGTTGGGTCCTCTTGGGGGTTTAGCTGTTGTTTTTTCGACGCATTGCTTCTCAGAGATTTATTACAAAAGTAAAATAAAATAAGATAAAATAAAATAAAAATAATAATAACAATAATAACACCTATTATCTTAAATTGTGGGGTTCCTGACCTGTTCTGTTTAGCTCCCGGCGCTGTGCCGGCAGGGCCCAGCAGACAGTTTTAGACAGCTGTTCTGGCTGTTTGCCATTGTGGTTGTCTTAGGGCGTGGGAAGCTTCCCTCCCGGACAACTTGATCTGCGTAGTTACCCCCACCCCAGGGCTTCTCCTACCTGGAAAGCCTGGGCACAATGGCAGATGGTGAGTCTCCTCAGGCTTTGCAGGGTTCTGATATTCCCCCCATTCAAGCAAAACGCAGATCCTCTGATTCAAATACAGGGGGGAAGGAAAAAAGCTAAAACCAAGCATTTATCAACCAAAGAACCCTCCAAGACTGCTGAGCGAGAGGCCTCGAGGAGACACCAGGCACTGGAGCAAGAGTTCTCCAAAGCACAAAGGCTCAGGTCCAGAGAAGCTGAATTGGTTCCCCCTGCTTCTCTGGCCAGCTCACCTTATGAGCCCTCACTGGTGCCGTCTTATCAAGCCCCCAGGGCAGGGTCTCCTCAAGGGGGAACTGAACAGGTCAGTCTATCTGCCCCTAGACAACATATCCCTATATCCCCTCTGCCAGGGCCTTCCATTTCTCCTGCTAACATTAGTACGCATACTCCTGAGACCACCGCTGCTGGTGTGCCTTCAGCTGAGCGATCCTTATGGGCTCAACAGTTTCAGAGCTTTATGCACCAGGCCTTCAATCAATTCATGTCTTCTTCCTTAGCAGCTGGTCCCTCACAGGTTTCACCTTCTCCACCCTTGCCCGCAGACCGCACTGGACGTCCCCAGTCAGCGGGTTCAGGTATTTCTGAGACTTCATCTCAGTTTGGGGAGACTGAATCTGTTGACCTGGTGACAACTGAAGGACCTATGTCTGAGGATGAGGAGGTAAATCAGGATCCAACCCCAACATCGGGGCTTTTTGATCCAAACCTATTAAAATCTCTTTTGTTAAAAGCCTGCACAACAGCCAACCTGGTCTCGGAGCAGGAACCCAAGCCATCTACCTTGGCTGTGCAAGAGTCAAACCCTTTGTTTGTTAGAAAGGTGGTAGAGGAAAAACAAGTTCCTTGTCCAGCTGTTTTCCACGAGACGGTGGAAAAAGAGTGGACCTCACTGGCCACCCTATCCTCTCCTAGCAGCACAGAAAAGAGATTGCATAATGTATCTTCTGCATTCTCTTCCCTTCTAGAGGTTCCCAAAGTGGACGCTCCATTAACATCTTTGTTCTCCACATCCACTGTTCCTGGAGACATGGCCGAACATCTCAAGGTGGAAGATAAACGTTTTGAGTTTTCTCTCCGCAGGGCTCACCAGGCCTCTGCCTGGGCCATCAGGGCGTCTTCGTCCTCGTCCTTTTTCGCGAGAACTTCTATCATGTGGCTCCGGGAACTACAGGCATTAATTCCTCCAGACCAGGTACGCGCACAACATACTCTAGGTAAACTAGTAACAGCGGCGGAATACATGTCAGATGCTTCCCTCAACTCCACCAAATTTTCGGCCAGATCTATTGCAGCCACAGTTGCGTCCCGCAGATTCATGTGGCTCAAACAGTGGAGGGCTGACCTAAAGTCAAGATGGCATCTTGCTACAGACACCTACAGTGGCAAGAATTTATTTGGCCAAATCCTATTGCCGTACCTAGTTGAAGGGAAGGATAAGAGAAAAGCCTTAGCTCATCCGTCCAAGAAGACGGATAGGAGACCTCAACAAGAATTTCGCAGGCAGTCCTTCAGGGCCGGAAGTTCTTGGGAATGGAGGCAGCCCTTTCGATCAGGGCAGTCCTGGGATTGGCCCAGAGGTTCCCGATCCTTCTCCCCCAGACAGGATCGCCAACAGGACCGCCAGAATTCAGGAGCCAGGGGTCAGTTCCAGACCAAGCGACCCTTCAGGGGGGCGGGAGGCCGTTCATTCCGAAGGTCTAAGTGATGCCAGATTGGACCCTCCCATAGGCGGACGCTTAACCCTGTTCAGCGACACTTGGGAGGTCACCACAAACGATACCTGGGTGAGAGAGACCATAAGATTCGGTCTAGCCCTAGAACTAAAGTCCATACCACCAGACCGTTTCCTTCAGTGCCCCGCCTCAAGACACGCACACAAGGCCGAACTAGTAGACACAGCAATATCACACTTATTAGAAATAAGAGCCATAGAATCAGTTCCTCCGGAACAAAAAGGAAAAGGGTTCTACTCCATTCTCTTCGTGGTTCCCAAGCCCTCAGGGGGATGGAGAGCAATATTAGATCTAAAGGGACTCAACCGCTTCCTAATCTACAGGAAGTTCAAAATCCAGTCCCTCAAGTCCATTCTAGCAAGTGTCAGGAAGGGAGATTACCTCTCCTCCATAGACCTGACAGAAGCCTACCTTCATGTTCCTATCAGACCACATCACCGCAGATTCCTCCGCTTCTGCCATGCAAACAGACATTATCAGTACAGGGCACTTCCCTTCGGTCTATCCTCGGCACCACGGGTATTCACAAAGATACTGGCAGTATTAGCGGCACATCTCAGATTAATACCGGTAAGAGTACAATGTGACCTGGACGATATAATCATCCAGTCCAGTTCATTCCACACTGCTCAACTAGATCTACAGACTACAATAGAGACACTTCAGAGACACGGCTTCTCAGTAAATTTCAAGAAGAGCCACACCACCCCTACCACTCGGATCTTGCATCTAGGGGCGGTGATAGATTCAGACCTATGCAAGGTCTACCTCTCCCAGGAACGCAGGGACGGTATCAGATCCTTAGTTCACAGGATCCAGAGAGAGAAGGTAGTTCCCCTTGTCCAGTTGTCACAGCTGTTGGGGAAGATGATTTCTTGCCTAGGAATAGTGCCGTGGGCCAGTCTTCATTCCAGACATCTACAATGGTTCCTGCTTCCCTTCCAGAAGCGGAACATGAGTGCCTCCACACGGAAGGTGAGAGTTCCGTACCACACTCTACAGTCACTCAGATGGTGGGGGTCACCAGCCATACACAAGGGGACATTCTTCAAGGAGCCTCACAGACTTATCCTGACCACGGACGCCAGTCTGTTCGGTTGGGGAGCGCACACGCAGACACATATGGCTCAGGGTCAATGGTCCAAGCACGACCTCACGCACAATATAAATTGGCTAGAACTCAGGGCAATACACCTGGCTCTTTGCCAGTTCTCCAACATAGTGAAGGGGAATCATGTCCTGGTAATGACGGACAATGTCGCAGCCAAGGCTCATATCAACAGACAGGGAGGGACCAAATCTTGGTCCCTCATGCAGGAGGCCCTAGCATTGGGTCTGTGGGCAGAATCCCATCTGAAATCCATCAGAGCAGAACACATTTCCGGGGAGGAGAATCGTCAGGCAGATTCTCTAAGCAGAGCGACGATAGACCACTCGGAGTGGCGATTGGAACCGAACCTCTTCAGGGAAATATCGGAGAGGTTCGGGCAGCCTCAGGTAGACCTGTTTGCTTCGCCAGCAAATGCTCAGCTTCCCAGGTATTTCACGCGGTTTCCGTCACGGGGGGGGGGGGCGGAGGGAACGGACGCGCTACGCAGCAGATGGCCCAAGGGACTTCTGTATGCCTTCCCTCCACTTCCCCTGATTCCAGCTGTCATCAGGAAACTCCTATTAGAGGGGGCAGTATTAATCTTGCTGGTCCCACATTGGCCAAGGCGTCCTTGGTTTGCAGATCTCGTGGACCTATCGATCTCCCCACCTTGGAAGATTCCAGCAGATCGCATCTCCCTCAGTCAGGGTCAGCTCCAACATCCGGACCCGCAGTGGCTTCAACTAGCCGCTTGGCACTTGAAAGGGAGAGCTTAATTAGACAGTCCTATTCGACTGGAGTGATTGCTATAATTCAAGCCTCCAGACGTCCCTCCACTAACAGGATCTACGATGCCACGTGGAAAAGTTTCTGTGCATGGTATAACACCAGGAGGGTCAACCCACTGGCTACCACCATTCCGATATTATTGGACTACCTTTTAGACGGACTAAACAGGGGACTGTCTCACAATACCATCCGTAGGCAGATCGCAGCATTATCCACAGTCCTCATTTGTGGGGATCAGGTACAGCTATCTCATCATCCAGCTGTTACGGCCTTCCTTAAGGGAGCCGTTAATACAGGTCCCCCTGTAGTACACAGATATCCCACATGGGACCTGCCAAGGGTTCTGCAGGTTCTTACCAGTTCACCATTTGAACCCATCAGATTTTGTTCACTACACTTCCTTTCATTGAAAGTAGCCTTTTTGATAGCCATCACCTCAGCAAGACGCATCTCGGAACTTGCTGCACTCTCGATCAGGGAGGATCTTTGTGTTTTTCTGGATGACAGAGTGATCCTAAAATTGGACCCTTCTTTCATTCCGAAAGTCAATACTAGCTTCCACAGGTATCAAGATCTGATTCTTCCGGACTTTTGTCCGCGACCTTCTCACCGTCTTGAAAGATTGTGGCATACATTAGACGTACGCAGGGCTTTGCATCACTATGTGAAGCGAACCGCTGCATTTCGTAGATCGGAGGCCTTGTTTGTGTCTTTCCAATCTTCTTCCATGGGTCTGAAAGTATCATCCTCGACCATTGGTAGATGGATTAGGGCCTGCATCTCTCACGCTTACAGGACTCAGTCTCTTCCTGTTCCTCCTCACATCACTGCTCATTCTACACGTAGCGCTGCTACATCTGCGGCCTGGTCCACTCAGGCCTTGATTGAGGAAATTTGCAGGGCAGCCACCTGGGCTTCCCCCTCTTCATTTATAAGGCATAACAAGCTTGATAAATTCGCTGCCTCAGACGCATCCTTCGGCAGAAGGGTTCTGCAGCAGGTAGTCTCTACGCATGAGCCACAAGCCTAGACTTCCCTCCCGACAGGGACACGGGTGGCTTTGGTATGTCCCAATCGGTGGATGCTACATCTATCATGCTGGAGAAGGGGCGTTGTCTTACCTGAACACCTTTTTTCAGCATGAAGATGTAGCATCCACACCCACCCTTAACACTTAGTCTAGGCAGATTTTTTTCAGGAGGAGCTACTGTGTCGGACCTAATGAATGCTTCGCCTCGACAAAACTGGGAAAGGAGCGCCCAAGGGAGGCGTGGCTAAAGTTTGGTCTTAGTCTAAATCTGAGCAGGAGGGCTTTGATTACCCAATCGGTGGATGCTACATCTTCATGCTGAGAAAAGGCGTTCAGGTAAGACAACGCCCCTTATCTTTCCTATTCTTGTGTAAATAATGAGGCTTCTTTAATGCTTCAAAAAGAGTTCCTTCTTAAGCATTCCTTCTTGTAAGCAATTTGTATAGCTTATTCTTTCTATGTATGTACAAATCTGTTACTGTTATTAACTCAACCAGAAACAAAAATGTCTTAAGCTGATTCTAACAAAGTACCTTGTGGTGATTCCATCTGGGTAAAAATGCACAGGCAAACAAGAAGCTACAAAGCTCTTGTAACCTTTTATTTAAAGCCTATACCCCAAAACCTGCTTTTTGTGAAAGTATCATAAACAATTATATTATGGCTATTGTTGTTTAATAGCACAGGTTCTAGCTATGTATCCTAAAGCCCATTGTGCTTTTTCTTTAAAGAACCCAGAATATAAGTAACCTCACAATATGTCTGTTGTGGGTCAAACTGAGGGAGAATATGAGGGAGATGATGAGTAGTTTGATACTCATGAATTAAGTTTGGAATCTGAAATGAAACTGAGTGGGCCATCAATTCAACATCCTTTTGCCACAGCATGACCAACTTCATTTTTTAAAACTTACCGCACAAAACATTATTTTGGTTCTTGTTACCTCTGTTCTGCGCAATGAAGCAAAATATCCCATCTGTTTCTAAGCATGCTTAGATTTTTTTTTACCCCCCCCCCCCCATGATGGCTGTTAATTTTGAACCCAGCATGAAGGACAGTTATAACTGTAAACTGTGTGATTTGCTGCAATTCCGCTTGGGCACTAAATTCTATTTTATAACTTTCATTTTGATCAAGCTATTAAAATCATTATGTTTGGGGAGGACACATTTTAATTTAATCACTATGCAGATTTCAATCACACTTTCTGATTAAATGTGTAAAAGACTGGGCCACTGCAATTATGGAGATATGGAAAAATAAAAAATATTTTGTGGGAATATTTTTCCTTTGAATATTTACAAAAATCGATCCTCTTGCCATTAATCGGGCACCAGTTGGGAAAGTGAACATTGCAAAATGAAAACTATTGCTGTGGTCAGCTAGGTAGGATATGCACAATGAACATAGTTTGTGTGGAAGCTATTATTTTTAGACATTTTTCCTTCTGTCTCCCCCAAAGAAGCTGTTTTGCTGCAAAGCAAAGGGCCAGGCAGGCTTCAACATAATTTATCTTGATTTTCAAGACTGTTTCTGACCTCCACTTGGACTCCATACACATTCATGGCAGAATCTCCATTCATGGCTTGAAGAATCAGGCCTTTTGTGGCAGCCATTTTATGACAAAATCCACAATAGGGAAGGGAAGAAACATCTTGTATAGGGCAAGTGTGAACCATGAAAGAATAGAGGCAGGAGTTCATTTGGGAATGAGGACTTATATTCAGGATAAACTTAAGAGTTCCAGATTTTTTTATTATTGTAAATTAAGTTAATATTGATTAATGGCGGTCTTCAGACAAGTGTATAAAGAACATTCATGATATGGCCTCAATATTTAAATGATATCTCCAGAGAATTGCCTATCTCATGCTGCAAGCAATTCATGGTTTCTCCAAGTATTCAGTAACTCCAGTAATTGTGGGTCCTTCAGGAGTACAAATTAGGGACTGTATGGAAAAAATCTGTGTAAGTGGCTGTTAAGATCTGACACCAATTTGATAGCATATAATCAATTAATCAATCCATCAGTAAGTCAGTCAACCAAAATATTTCAAGAAAGGGGTTCTTCCTAGCTCTTTGACATTATTTATTTATTGTGTGGGGCTTAATAACCCACCCCCATATGTCCTGATAACCACTCTTCCAAATAACAAGTAATGAGATTCACTTTCAAGCATGTCATATATAAGATAGCTTCCAGAGTCTGTTGCTTGGAAAACTTGTGTGAGGCTCACTGCTGCCTTTAGGTAGGCAACCTGCTCTGGAATTGCTGGCATGTGAGAGCCTTGGGGAAAGGAAAGACATATTTTCTTTTTCTCTTTCTTGGACTAAGAACGAGGCAATTTAGGCCTGTATCTCTATGTCTAAGCAGGCAATAGAGGCAGAAAAAATAGGGCCTTATTCAGAAGTGGTCTTCTCTGGAAATCTCATATGGGGCCAATGATATGGTTCTATCTAGTCACATTCTCTCCCTTGTCTTCTCTTTCTACTGAAAACCAAACAGGTAAATGCTGTCCCTGGAACATTTTAGAGCTAAAAGAAAGAATATTGGGTCTCCCAGCTGTACCATAACTAGATTGGGGCCATGATGGAGGAGAAGCTAGTGGACACCCATTTGTGAAGGGGCCAGTTCCTAAACCATAGCAAGGAAATCAAAGCTTAGCAAGCTGAAATAGCCAAGCTGAAGGAACAGGACAACAGCCATGTGATGAGTTGAGCAGTTTCTCGCTAGGCCAACAACCAGACTAGATAAAACAAGAATGACTTTATTTGATGAAAAAAAATCTTGCCAACAGATTTTTTTAATGGAATAATGCACATCTCCCTTGCAAACCCTGGTGACCTTAAGCCATTGTGTGTAAACATTACTAATGCAATATATTTGGACTAATTATATTATGTGACTGCTGCTGTTTTTGAATTTTAAAAAATAATCCCATAAACTTACTGTTCATTGTCCCATTTATTACCCAGGGTTCTCAGGCATAAGACTCTAAATGCCGCTGAGACCTTGTGTAGTTATATCACCTTCTGTCCTAATACATTTTTTTGATAAGAACATTGATGGAAGAAAGTGTGCAAAACATTGGGAAATAAAAAATAGAAGGCAATATTCTCCATTCTGACAACTTTGGGCACTTCTAGATAACGTTGGCTAGGTGACTTTGGGCCAGTCACTTCTCTTACAACCCAACCTACCTCACAGGGTTGTTATTGTAGGGAAAATAAGAGGAAAAGGGAGTATTAGGTATGTTCACTGCCTTGAGTTATTTAAAAAATTATAAAGGCAATCCAATCAATCTATTTCTTCCATTGCCCAATTCTTCCATTTCCCCTTGGAACTTGATCAGGGTGGAATTGAGTTGTTTTAATTGTTTGCAAAGAATTATAACCACTCAGCCCTTGCCTTTCTTAACCAAGGATAGTACAGGGGGCTGTCAATCAGTCATGGTTGAGCCACTGGAATACTGTAACTAATGCCCAACAACTCTCTAAAAGAAGGCAAATGACCAGCTGAGTGCAAGGAATATAAATCCTTCTATTCTCTACCATCCAGTCAGAGCTGAAGAAGCTTATTGGATGAGAAGTGAAACGTCTTCAAACGTCTTGCCTCATGAAAAAAGCACTTTTGGGACAACCATGACCTGGATGACTAAGAATCTCCATAGACATTTATAAATACTCGTGCACATATATTAGATATTTATTGCTGTACTTCCTTATTTTATACAAAAATATAACACCATTCAGAGCCGTTCAAGATATGGGACACTCTGAAATCTAGCAAGGCAAATGACGTTTTCCAGGTGTTGTCACAATTTACACAATGTACAGTATGTTATAGCTAATTGCTGCCCCAGATTATGTCTTTGTAAACCGGGCCTACATTTTTTTTCTGTTAACAACCCTGTAATCCCTTGCATTGGAATGGAGTTGGGGTGATTGAATGGAGCTGAGGCTTTATTGTTGGGGATGCCCTTCCTGACACCTATGCGGAGTTCACACCAGATATTTTATCTTTGTGCCCAGAGAGAGAAATATCTGCTGCTACCTAGAATCGAACTCACACCCTCCTGATTGTGAGGTGAGAGCTCTACCTCTAGGCCACCACACCGCTTTTCTCTAGGCCAGCGGTTCTCAACCTATGGTTCACGACCCCTTTGGGGGTCGAACGACCCTTTCACAGGGGTCGCCTAAGACCATCGGAAAACACATATTTCCGATGGTCTTAGGAACCAAGACACCACTCCGCATCTATCTCCGCATGGCCTCCTCTGCCATTTGCAGAGAGAGAGACAGAGAGGCACTTTCGCTTCCCTTCTTTCTCTCTCTCTCTCAGGCGGACTTACCTCCTGCAGGGCTCCTGATTGGCCCTGCGCCCAGGTGTCCCACCCCCTGGGAGAAGTGTGGCCAGGGCCTTGTGGCCTTGGAGCCGCCTGGGGAAGCCCTGCGATCCCTGCTGGGAGCGGCCCACTGGAGGCTCCGCTGAGTGGGCCAGCCCTCCCGCAAGCCATGGCCCAAGGGAAACCAGCCCCTGCGATCCCCAGCCAGCCTGACCATTGGCCCCACTGGCCGGGAAGGCGCGCTGGAGTCTAGGCTGCCGGTAAGGAAGAAGGGGATGCAGCAATGGTAGGGGCCCGGCGCTGGCGGCGGCTTCTTTGCCCTCCTCTTCCTCCTCCCCTTCTTCCTCTTGCCGCCCCCCAGGTGGCTCAGGCGGGCACTGGGACAAGAAGTGTGCCTGGGGGGAGCAGACGGGCTGGCAAAGGGGCTGGCAGGGACCGCGTGGCATTAGCCCCCACCACGGCTTCATCGATGGGCAGAGGGCGAGGCTGGGCAGCGCTTAGTCCCAGCGAGGGCGGCGGCCGGGCTGGGGGCGGCGGGGATCCCCGATAATGCTGCCATAAGAGAGAGAGAGAAAAAGAGTGAAACAGAGGAAAGAGAGAGAAAGAGAAAGGAAACAGAAAGAGAAAGAGAGGAAAGAGAGAAAGAGGGAGAGAAAAGAGGAAAGATGGCAAGAGAGAGGAAAGAGAAATAGAGGAAAGAGAAAGGAAAGAGGAAAAAACAGGAAAAGAGGAAAGAAAGGGAAGAAAGAGAGAAAGAGGAGAGAGAAGAAAGGAAAGAGAAACAGGAAAAGAGGAAAGAGAAAGGGAGGAAACAGAAAGAGAGAGGAAAGAGGAGAAAGGGAAAGGGGGAGAGGAAAGAGAAAAAGAGAGGAAAGGGAAAGAGGAAAGAGGGAGAGAGAGGAAAGACAAAGAGAGGAAAGAGAGAGAAACAGGAAAAGAGAGAGGAAAGAGAGAGAGAGAGGAAAGAGAAAGAGAAGAGAGAGAGAGAGGGAGAGGAATGGCGCTTCTCCAACCAGGATGGGCGGAGCGGCCTTCCTGCCCCCCCTCCCTGGCCAG